GGGGGGAAATGAGTCTGAATTATTAGTTTTTATTTAGACTAAGAGAAGGCAGCCGTCGGCTGTCACTTACTGACCAACTGCCATCAGACACATCCTCCCCATTTCACCGATCCTTTTCCAGCCCCATATGTAAATACTGGCTGGTTCTAGTGGAGGAAGCCAGAGCTCAGAGAGGCTTAGGAGCTTGCCAGAGTCTCCCAGCTGGAAGGGAGACTGCTACCATTTGTGCTCAGATCAGCCTCACAGCATGCCGCTGCTTCCCGAACCCAGAGACCATTAAGTGCGGTAGGTGAGCAATGCGGTGATGTCAGCTTCTTTGGAGACTCTAATGAATCTAACTACTTGGCACTGGAAAAATACATCTAAACTGTCGGGAAACAAACATGTGCCATGGCTGTCTGTTTTCTGTTTTTAACTCTCTTTGACCAGTTTTATTTAGGAAATACTTTTGAACTCAGGCCTGTAACTGTAGTACTACAGAGGCCACGGCAGGAAGATTATGAGTTTGAGACCAACCTAGTCTACATGGGAAGACCCTATCTCAACAACAAAAACAATACATTCGTGCTTTACTTTGGACTAGTCAGCTGTGGCTTGCTCCCAGTTGTACTACAATCTTCTGGAACAGCTGTAGTCTGGATAGATCTGTAAGACTTTGCTTTATGCTCAACCCTGTAGAGGACTGTTGTCACTCACGGAGGCATTCAGGGTGACATAGCAGAATTCAGTTCTCTATCTGACTTTCCTCAGGTCTAAATACTTTTTGGCCAGCGTACCTTCTCCCATTTAACTGTGCCTTGGTCATTGTCTTTCTCAGGTGGAGCAGGGTCCCGATGGCTTTGTTCTGGTCTTCATTCCCAGCTGGAAACTGGAGGAGTAAGGCCACCATCTTCCTAGTGCTTTTGGGATAGGGTCTTAACCTTAAGCCACACCTAGATGGCTGGGATGGGAATTCAAAGGCATAAGGCTCTTAGGTGGTAGAGGGAAGGCTGTGGGAGGCAGGGTGTTTTTAAGCAGTTATCCATATAAAGGTATGCCTTATATTTTAAAAGGAGTCTTAAAGAATAGCACCTGTGGAGCTCACTTTCACAGTGATGCAACCTCTAGACCAGAGGCCTGACAGCCATTCCTCTTCCCCCTGCTGCTAGTCATTGCATTCAAGGACAATAAGTACTTGTTCCTGGAAGTGTATAAGTATATAAAGTTTTTCCTTTCCATAATATTAATGGAATGTTTATAAATTTTAAAATTAACTTGAAAATATTACCTCACTCTTCTGGAAAAAAAAAAAATCTTTAAGCGGCTTCAGCTGTTTGGAACATGGCCACAAACCTGAGATGACAAATGAAAAGAACAGTGACTCGAGTACAAAACAGTAAAAGAGACTCCTGAGTAACCCAACTGCCCCTTAGCCAAGGCTGTCTCAGTGTGCCTGCTTCACCCACACAGCACAGCGACTGAAAATCTGTGACATCTAGACAACCCCCACACCCAACTGCAGGCGGCGAGGAAAAGGATGGGGCAGCATACTTGTGCAGTCAGGGAGGGGTGTTTCAGATGAGAGTGGGCTCACTTTTTGCTGCGGAGCAGTCTGCTCTCCTGAGCTGTCCCATTGGAGGTACCAGATTGTAGGTAAGAGTGGTCAAATGTTCTCACATTTGTGTGTTCAGTAAATAAATGTTCAACCCACAAGAAGCAAGGCAGTCGGGTGGGTAAACAGTAGTAAAGGAATAAGCAGCCTTGAGTTTCATGTTGCATCGCATGGTGTGAAAGTAAAGAAGTCTGACAGTTGTAGCTAAAAATGGGTTTGGGGGCCAGGTGGTGGTGATGGTGCATGCCTTTAATCCCAGCACTTGGGAAGCAGAGACAGGTGGAGCTCTGAGTTCGAGGCCAGCTGGTTCAAGTCAGAATAGATCAGATCCACAAAACCTATGTGAAATCTAAATGAGTGGTAAGAAGAGAGGCAGCACCCTCAGAGAGGAAATGACCTGAAGGACAGGAAGATGAGCAGGCACATCCTGTGTCAGCAAGACTGCTCACGACAGTAGATGCCCAAGATTGAGCATGGGAATTGGGCTGGTATGTGGGCTCCTGTTTTGGAGACCTTGCAAAGCAAGTGAGACATAAAGTCTAGTTTTGCACAGTTCTCTTGTATTCAGCATCAGGGACATAGTAATTTAGTGAGACTGTTAAATCAGGGAAGGGCTTCTGTTAATGATGAATGAGAATTCACTGAAGACTTGGGAGAAAAGCTGATATATGATGAAAGTGTCTTGGAAAACTGACTAGTGCATGTCCTCAGCAGATTAAAGAAGAAAGACTGGCTTCCGGGATTAAACTCAGGTTATTCTGTTAATCTAGAGAGGATGGTAAGAGTCTGGAGGCAGTGAAACTAGGTTAAAGGAACTCAGCATGAACCTCAAAAGCATTGTGCTATGTGAGAGAACATACATACACACACACACACACACACACACACACACACACACACACACACACACTGTATGTGGTTCTATTTCTATGTAATAGCTTTGTAGGGACAGAAAGTAGATTATTGGTTCCTAGAACTTGGGAGAATAGAGTAAGAGGGCAGTGGAGACTTAACTGCTACATATAGGATGGAGGAGGGTTAGTTGTAGTGAAATATACAACTCTATAAATAAACCAAGGTTTAAATTTAAATAACTGGATTTCGTGGTATGTGAATTATATTTCAATACAGCTTTTTTTTTTCTCGAAAAAATGGGAGAGAGAATCAATAAAACATGAATGGCAGGGTGTCTGTGTTTGATGGGAATGAATCATTCACAGTCAACTGCAGAGTTTCCAGCTTGGCTGTCAATGAAATAGCAAGAGTTGCCACTAACACTATTACTACTTGAAATTTGTGCTTTCAGAATACCCCAAGGAATCATATAGATATGATTATCATCACTGAAAATTCAGTACCACAATTCTTTGTCGCAGGATACAAATATTTAACCTTGAAGTAGCCTGAAAGTAAAATGGAGTGACTTCTTCAGAGGATAAGCTGATTCTTATCAGTAACAATAAGGGAAGCGTTAGTAAAATGGAGTTGTGTACCAGGGGCTGTGATAGGAAGACTAGATAATAGAAAATAAGTTTCAAAAGGCCGTTAGTTTCCCCAGCTAGGAGTATACACCAATGGCCATATCAAATTGGCAAAATATTTCAGGAGCCTTCAGAATCTTCATACTCTTGTCCTGATGAGTTCTAGATGGAGAAAACACTTAGCTCAAGATGCTCAGTCTCTGTCAGACCCTGAATGAGGACCCGTGTCTCCCTCGGATCGTTCATCACCTCCTCATCACCTGCATGCACCTGGTTTTCAAGCCATGCTAAATCCTTAGGCCTCTGTTTCAATGAGTCATCAATCATAACTGCTCAAGGAAGAGAAAAGGAAACTAAACTCAGCTGAAGGATTGTCTCTACAGTGTAGAATCAGTGCTGTGATGCGTGGGAAAGTGTTTGGAGGTTGGGCATTTCCTAGAAAGTGCATAACATGTGTTTGTGTTAGGCTCATGCCTTATTGGGGCGCGGGGGGGGGGGGGACAGTTAACGTCACCAGGGAAACAGAACTGAAAGAGGTCTAGCGTACCTACAGCCTTCTATAGGTTATGGGTGGCGGGGGGAGAGTGGGAAAACACATGCTGGCCTAGCTCAGAAAACAACCATCAAGACCTCTACCCTCTCTATTAGGAAGAGATCCACCCCTAAAAAGCAATAAACTTGATTTTATATTCACTTTTTGTATTTCAGTACAAAACAATATATATTGAATACTGTAAAAATGGCAAAGTCACACAATATACAAAGTAGCAACCCAGCATCTCTGCCTTGTCCCTCTTCCCTGAGTTAACCCTTGCTGTAACTGTTAGCATCGGGATATTGTTCCCAATGCTTAAATCCTCCCCCATTTCCAGCTGTAGTATAGCTTCATTTTTCTATAAAAAATGAAGTCTTTTATTTTGAAATTCCAGTCATTATACTTCCCTATTTCTCTGGGTATGATTACTGTGTCTCCCTTAGGTGTTTAGTTGGAGATAAAATTGTCATTTTTAACTAGATACCTATTTGGGAGAAATAAAAGGTATCCAGGTAAGCTATTCCTAGGTATTTCTGGCAGTCTCTAAGTTGATTTCATCTTTTTTCCTGATATCAAAGTCAGCATATAAGCAGTCATTAGTGGTACAGAAATAAAGGGCAGACTTTTGTATTTCTTGTGTATGAGGTGTTGGAGTCATTGAAGCCCATGAATATTAGTTAAGTGCAGAGTAATATGACTGCCATGGGTTGTAAACTCATAAATGTTTGCAAGCCAGCAAGTACAATGACAGTCGGGAGGGGCCAACAGGCACATACATAGTGCATGGTGGGATCAGCTGCCTTGTGGACAGCCCATGCCTTGCCAGGAGTATGCAGGGAGGGTTATCATCATGCTGAAATTCAGGCTAGTACTGCAAGGTCATTTTCAAGAGTTGACAATTTAAAATTACAAACTGAAAGTGACCCTCAAACAGGTTACACCTCTTTAAATTATTACATTTATCAGCAGCAAGAGAAAGCCATTCTTCTGTATTTGCTGCATGTTCATGGGGGAAAGAATGGAAATGAAGTCACATTAATTAATCAGAGGAAAGCTGTGCCGCTGACTTAATCACACAGGCAACCGAGCCCGTCCGTTCCCTGCATGGATTACAAAACTGCCACCCTCCTACTCTGAACTTGGTCTCCTCAAGTGGGGCTCACCATGCCCCACACCACACTGCAAAAGCAGGAACACAAAAGGAGCTTGGGCATCTTCGTTTCCAAGCTGCAGTGGATAAGCCAGTTCCTTTGGAGCAAAGTCCTGTGCCTTTTCTACCGTGGGCTGCTGGGAAATCATGAGAGGTTGTCCTGTTGCGTACAGGAAAGGCGGCCCTTCCCTTGCCGCATCTGCAAGACTTGTGTGCTCACCCTGTCCTTTTCTCTTTCCACAGGTGATAGAGGGAAAACTGGCTCCGTTCTTGGGCAAGGTCATTAAATTCGCCACCTCGCATGTCTACAGCTGCAGTCTTTGTAGCCAGAAAGGGTTCATCTGTGAAATCTGCAACAATGGCGAGATCCTCTACCCTTTTGAGGACATTTCAACAAGCAGGTACAGAATATCTCGCCCTAAGGAAAAGTATCTGAATATCATGTGTGCTTTTGTCAGGATAGCTTTGGGCTGAGCACTATGTCTCTCTCACACCCACCTGCCGAACGATCCCCTTGCTTCCCACTTGTGTCCAGTTTGCTTTCATTTGTTTCCAGTCCTTACTCTCCATCTTTAGGCAGGAGGAGATAACAGAGCTGCAAAGGAATGCCGCCTTACTGTGTCTAGCTCATTAGGTAACGAACTGTGTGTTCACATTCAATCTTGGAGTAGGGAAAAAGACTGTCCTCCAGCTTTCCAGAGCCGGATGATTAGAGAGGGGAAATAACAGGGAGACTGTCTCCAAAAACAATCAAACGAACAAAAAACCCGAAGCAGCAACAACCAAGAGAATTGGGAAAGGGCCTCCTCAAAGGAAGGCCAAGCTTAGACTGACTGCTAGAACTCCTCCAGCTCCAGGCACTGGTGAGGAGCACGTTTTCCACAGACATGGCAGACATGAAAAGTTTTAGGGTCTGAAGAGAGAAGTGGAAGTCATGGGGCTTACCTTTCTACCAAAGTCATGTTTGGGCATCAGCACATCCTGGCGGATGGACGGCTTGCCCACTAAGTTAGATCAGTTTTTACTATGGCTAATCTAGACTCACAAAATGATACATAGCCCTTTTCCTTTCATCCCAGAAACATAATAGAAATATTCTCTGTGTGTGCATTGGCTTCTTTGGCCAAGAATTATTATTAAAGTCTAACAAAAAAACATTGATTCAGAGTGGTGGTGGTCCTCATACTTGCATATCAGGCATTACTCATTGAGACATGTGATAATCCTTGATCCACCCCCAACCCCCAGGCAGGGTTTCTCTATGTAGCCCTGGCTCTCTTGGAACTCGTTCTGTACAGCAGGCTGGCCAGTGTTTGTTGTATGGACATAATCAAAAAGGCATAGTGAACACAGTATATTCTACTTGCCAAGATCAGTGTGCTAGAGTCAGCACAAGGTTCCCTAGAAACCATGGAAAGATTCCTAGCACTGGGGAGGCAGAGGCAGGTAGATCTCAGTTCAAGGCCAGCCTGGTGTGCAGAACTAGTTCTAGGAGAGCCAGGGCTACACGGAGAATCCCTGTCTGGGGGTTGCAGGGGCGTGGAATCAAGGCTGGCCGGATGGCTCAGTGAGTAAATACCTGATGTGCAAGTATGAGGGCCTGAGTGTGAAGCCAAGAACCCATCTAAAAGCTGAATGTGGTACTCATGTCTGGGGCCTCAGTGCCCCTACAGTGACATGGAATATGGCGATAGGTGAATCCCCAGAATCCCACTGCAGCAAACAGCCAATAAATGACCTTATCTCAAACTAGATAGAGTAAGGACCAATACCTGAGGTCATTTTTTTGACTTCCACACATGCACCATAGAGTGCACGCGTGCGCACACACATACACACACACACACACACACACACACACACACACACACACACACCCCACACTCCCCAACTACTCTCTTTCAAGAAGCAATTTCTTGAGTGTGTTACCACTATCTAATGGGCCAGCTGCTAGAGATAACAGTGGAAATACATGATCCTTGCTCACAGTAGTATACGGCTTTAGGGATAGAAGAGCCATGGGACAGTTCTATTAAAGCTAAGTGGCCCTGGACCTCATGTGCATGAGGGTGTGCATGGTATGGGAGAACCTTTCCATGGTCTCTAGGGAACTCTGCTGACTCTGGCACACTGATCTTGGCAAGTAGAATATACTGTGTTCACATTGCTTTTTCAATTATGACCATATAACAAACACTGGTCAACTTGGTCTTTCTTTTCCTTAACTGATTATATAAGAGGATACTTCCTGACTATAATTTGAAACCATGCCCCTAATTTCAATATGTAGGGCTCCTTCACTGATATAGAGAATATAGAGAACATGCTAGAATTACAGGGACTGGCATTAACTGGCACCAGTCCTAGCAGGTTACACAGGGTAGTTCTTTCTTCTGCCTGTGCTCTAAATGCTATCTCTGTTTTAAACTTTTTAATTATACTTCACTTATTTATTTTGTGTATGTGTATGTGTGGGGGGGCACTCCATGTAGAGGTCAGAGAACAGCTTGTGGATGTTCTCTTTTTCCATGACGTGGGTTCTGAGGATCAAACTCAAGGCATCAGGCCTGGTGGCAAGTGTCTTTATGCACTAAGCCATCTCCTGGCCACCTCTGCCTTAATGATAAGGAAACCTACGTTGAGGGAAAACCATTTATTTGCCCCAGCAGATAAGGTAAAACACTTTACTCTATCTGACTCAGCATCCATCCTTTTCATCATACACCACTGCTTCTTCTGTAGCTGTGGTCTTCAAAGAAGTCTGCAGGATATACCCTGAAAGCAATTGGAGAGCTATCTAGAGCCACCTCCCTGAGGGTACACTTCTCAATTGTCCCTTTATTTGCTCCTATGAGAGTGTAGACACCTGGGGCAGTAAGCCATGGACAGATTGGGATGGAGCAGATACACATTTCTGTTGTTAAGTAGAAGAATGGCTATTGTGATGGAGATAAGGGAGCGGTTGATACCCTGCATCACTGGGCAGTGAAGTTGTCTGTGGAAGCTGAGGGGACTTGTCTTAACTCCAAATTGTGTTCCCCAAGCTTCTCAGACACAAATGAAACACCTACATCTCCTTAACTAAGAATCCCTTAATGTCCAGACCGCAAAATTTAAATACAATAGGAAGACCATTCTGTAACTAAGCTTAATCCAGCATTTACCTTCTGAAAGGATACAGGGGAAACATGGCTTTAGGAGGAACAAACATTCTGTTAAGACAATGGCAAAATCACACATCCTAGAGAAATAGAAACAACACACTCCTGAGAAAATAAGAAAAGCTCTAACTAACATTTAAGAATTAGAAGTCCCAAGATTAGGGTGATATTGCACGAAGACTTAAGGTGAAACAATTGTGTGTGTAAGCAAAGAAGTCACAAAGGGACTACCCAGTACTTAGATTCTTCTTTTAAATCTTTAAATTATCTCCTATGCATCTTTCTTTCAGTCATCTCCTGATAGTAAGGAACCCATCCTAATGCTGCTGAGGGGTCATTCTCAATACTTCTGTGAAATGCCATTCCAAAACACTTCATTTTAAAACACTGTGTGAGTGCCTTGGAAGAGACCTGTGAGCTTGGCCAGCCACCCCAAGTCAGTGCCATCCTTTCTGCCCAGATCCATTTGGCTTGGCTAATTTTTATTTTTTCAGATGACAGAAAAGTTGTCCCCATTGGTATTCAGATATAGAAGACACTGCACTCCAAGACTTTTTTACCACTATACCCTGTGAGCTACACCCAGATGTGGGAAGAAAGTTATACACAACACAACGTTGAGTTTGGTGTCCTTGTAGTGTATACAGTCCATAAATATTTATTATTTTGTTGGCTCATGAGTGATGACAGTGCTTTTTAAATGAACTAACTAGTTAAGGGAGTTTCAAGGTTTCCAAATACATGGTGGCATTACAAAAGTATGACGCAGACCCAGCTTTGTATTCAAGGTTGGAGCCGCTGACCTGCCATTTAAGCAATTTCTTAGGCAGAAAGATTGGTGTGTCCAGCTTGCCCTTGGAAGGCATCAGATAATATTCTTCCTGTGTGTTCCCAGGGCACCTGCAGCTCAGGCACAGGTCGTCTGGAAGAGTTTGTTGTTTTAAGTTTTGAATGTGAGGGTTTTTTTTTTTTTAAGATTTTATTTGTTTATTTGTATACAACATTCTGCTTCCATGTATATCTGCACGCCAGAGGAGGGCACCAGATCTTATAACGGGTGGTTGTGAGCCACCATGTGGTTGATGGGAATTGAACTAGGGACCTCTGGAAGAGCAGTCAGTGCTCTTAACCACTGAGCCATCTCTCCAGCCCCCGAATGTGAGGGTTTAAAAGCACAGACTACACACCTTTAGTCCCAGCACTAGAAAGACAGAGGTACATGGTCTCTAAGTTCAAAGCCAGTTTCAGGCCAGTCAGAGCTTCCTGGTGAGACCCTGTCTCATAAAAATAAAAACAAACAGTAACAACAACAACAGTTACAGTACAGACTGAACATTTGCAGTTTCTCCTTGTGTACAAGTAGTTGATTTCTCTTCCAAGAAGTAAGGACGGCTCACAGGACCTTGCACTTATTAACACTGAATTCTCACCAGTTGTGCCAACACGATGCCCTGCCACATCCCATCTTCACACTGGGGAACTTTGCCCACATCATCCTGAGAATGAGCATTGGCCTCACGGAAACGGCCGTAACAAATGAGGCTCCAAACAACTCATTTCTGTGTTGAGAACTGTCTTGTCAGGCTAGTTCACATAAGAAAGGCAAATGGAAAGGGAAAATTGTTTTTGAAAAAAATACCTTCCAAGGATCTTAGAAAATGAAGCCTGTTGTCTTTACCTATCTGGCTGAACTCCAGAATCGTCCAGTTTGTGCAAAAGAACCTGAGTTTTCTTAGTATACTTGACCGATTGAAAATGGTTTTGTCATTTTGCATTTTGTTGCCATCCCCAGCACCGTGCCTCCCGAGGACCTGAACTTGTTGGGGCATAGATACTGCTCTTTCCACTGGCGCTTTCTGCCCCTCTTCACACCTCAGGTACACATGGAGCTCTGTATACCTAACTACACTGAAGCCTTAGCAAAGGATTTGTTTTCAAATAACTGAAGCTGTGTTACTACCTAACGTGCTGAATTCCTTCCTCCTGTCCAAGAGGCTAGGTACATAATTTTTCTTAGCCAACATGAGTAGTAACATTAAGATCTCTATTTTCAGGTTAGATGTGGTGGCACTTGCCTTTATTCCCAGCAGTGACAAATGGATCCTTGTGAGTTTGAAGTCAGCCTGGTCTACAAGTTAAGTTCCAGGCCAGCCAAGGATACATAGTGAGCGCCTGTCTCAGAGGGGGGAAGAGCTATGTTTCTTTTCTGTTGTTCTGTTTGCATTTTACTTGCCCACTAG